CGATCAAATTTTTTGTTTTTTTTGTTTTTTGTTTTTTGTAATCCATGATTGAATTTTATGTAATCCATGATCGAATTTTTTGTAATCCATGATAGAATTTTTTGTAATCTATGATTGAATTTTTTGTAATCCATGATCGAAATGTTTGTTTTTTTTGTTGTAATCCATGATCGAATTTTTTGTTTTTGTTTTTTTTTGTAACCCATGATAGAATTTTTTGTAATCCATGATTGAATTTTTTGTAATCCATGATCGAATTGTTTTTTCTTTTTTGTAATCCACGATCGAATTTTTTGTTTTTTTATGTTTTTTTTTCTTTTGTAATCCATGATCGAATTTTATGTAATCCATGATCGAATTTTTTGTAATCCATGATCGAATTTTTTGTAATCCATGATCGAATTTTTTGTAATCCATGATTGAATTTTTTGAAAATTTGTGATTTTTTTTTTAATCCATGATCGAAATTGTTTTTGTAATCCATGATCGAATTTTTTGAAAATTTGTGATTTTTTTTTTTTAATCCATGATCGAATTTTTTTTTGTAATCCATGATCGAAATTTTTGAAAATTTGTGATTTTTTTTTTTAATCGATGATCAAATTTTTTGAAAATTTGTTAATTTTTTTTTTAATCCATGATCGAATTTTTTTTTGTAATCCGTGATCGAATTTTTTGAAAATTTGCTGTACTTTTTTTTTTATTTCTTTTTATCCATGATCAAATTTTTTGAAAAATGATGATTTTTCGAAAAGATGCGAAAATCGTGATAAGGTTTTGATTATCATGATGTATTAAACCCAATTTTAATTTTTATTGTTTGAGTTTGCTGTACTTTTTTTTTTTTTTTTCATGATCGAATTTTTTGAAAAATGATGATTTTTCGAAAAGATGTGAAAAAAAGATAATCAGGCCTGCCATAACCCGCTTTGCAACCGATTACTTAGCTATGGACTCCATTCAAGACTCTGAAGGTGCACTAAAGACATTGTTTACCTGTGAAGAGTGGTTAAATGACCGCCTCTCGAAGTCCAGTACTGGTATAAAAGTGGACAACATAGTCTCAAATAGGCGATTCAGGTCTCGATGTTCCAGTGTTGTAGAGGCCACTGCCCCTTTGGTCACGGTGTTAAGAATGGTGGATGCTGACAAGAAAGCTATCATGGGTATCCTTTATGAAGGTATTGAAAGGGCGAAATCAGCTATTGGGGAGAAGTGTAATTTTGCTAGCAAAGTGATCGAGATTATAGAAAGGAGGTGGAATACCAAATCTGGACGTCCAATTCATTATGCTAGTAAATATATATTTATATCATTACAATGTTTCATTTTAAATCATTTTTTTATGAAATTGTAAATGACATTTTTCTACCTATATATTTTGTAAGTTACTACTTCAACCCAAAATTTTTCTATTTGACACCTGAACAACCCCACAAGATTATGAAAGGGGTTAGATACATTATTGTAAGGTTGGAGAGAAGCCATCGAAACCAAGTAGCAGCAATACAAGAGGTATTATTTAATGTTTGGGTAAAAACGTCATTGAGTTGTTATATTTGTGAGGAATAATGTACTAAAATGTAATATATTTGTTTAAGCTTGCTATGTATAGGGATGCTATAGGATCCTTCGGAACTAGACTTGTCAGGAATTCTCGAACTATGATGGATCCAAGTTATCCCTTCGCTAATATTTTGTTCATTCATATATTTAATCTTATGAATTGTTCTTGCCCTTACAATGCTTTTTGCATTTTAATCTAGCTGAATGGTGGGAGATATATGGTACTGACCTAAAGAGGATAGTAATCAAGGTGCTCTCCCAGACATGTTCTGCTACTAGCTCTGAGCGCAACTGGAGAACGTTCCAATGGTTGCACATTACTAGGAGGAATCGACTCGCTTTTGAGAAGCTTCATAAACTAGTCTACGTTCATTATAATTTAAACCTCCGAGAGCGATAAATAAGAAAGAAGCTTGAAGACTATGGGCCGATAGACTTAGACACAATATTTATCACAGACACAAAAGACCAATGGGTAGTAGAAGAGGAGGAGCCAGTGTTACACAAGAGAGCGTTCCTTGAGGCTATCGGTGATGAAGATCTTGAAGAAAGTGATGAGCAACATGAAAGAAGAAGCAGCCAGCCAACGTATCCACAATGCGTCGGAGATGTCGGTTATATTACACCTAATGAGGGAGAGTGGGAAGGGGGTCTAAGAGAAAATGAGAGAGATGATGATTCTGAGGCCACCCTATCCCAGCCATATTATTCACATATCGAGTCCCAACAGCAACAGTGTAGGGATGAGCACGACAATGCAGGTGAGCATGAAGGATGGACAAGCTTCGAGGATTTTGGATTGGGAAAACAACAAAACACTAACACTCAGGGATTTGGGAATAGTCAGATGCCTGCTAATATCGATGATTCGTTTTTAGATTGAATCAATGAATTGTCAAACGAATTCAATCAATGGCACCAGCGTGACCAAGAAGAACAACAACGTCGTCTATCATTTTTTTTAGATCGTATGTTACTAATTTTATGCTTTATTGTAGTCCATGTATGTTGATATACTTATTCCATGATAATTCTATGTTTATCCTTTTGTGTGATATAAATTAAATGCTGAATAGTAGTTCATGCAGGGAAATAACATATCAATATTCGCATATTCATACAAAAACATGAAAATTCTTAATGGAGTACCCTCATTTCTTATTGAATTACTAAAAAACAATATTTATAATGAATTTTAATAATTTTTTAGAATTTTTGAAACTTTATTCTTACCGATTCACCCGATTTGCGATCCGGATCGTCGATTCGCCGATCTGGATCGGTTTTTTGGGTGCCCTATCGGGGTCATCGATCCGTTTTTTAAACCTTTGTTTTTACCCCTTAGATTTATAAAAAAAAAAAGATAAATCTAAACTACTATCGGAAATCAAATAAATATCAGTGTTTCTCTCTTGTCAAAATCCCCACTCCTCGAAAACTGAGGGAGACCGTCGGAAATCAAATAAATATCAGTGTTTTCTCTCTTGTCAAAATCCCCACTCCTCGAAAACTCATGGCTGTCGCTGTTAGCTGGTGTTGTTCTTCCCTCTTTGCGGGTTGCTCGCCCGTAGCTTCCCCTGCACCTCGCCTTGCTCACGCCGCGCCTCCGCTGCGGTTGGTGGCGTGCGCTGCGTCTTCGCCTTCGAAGAAGAGAGAGCCGAGAGGCATCACGAAGCCGCGCCTTGTGTCACCTGCCATGCAAGAGCTCCTTGGTGTCTCTGAAATACCTCGCACTCAGGCCCTCAAGCTCATTTGGGCATATATCAAACAACACAACCTTCAGGTCCCTTTCCCTCTCGCTCTCTCTCTCTCTCTCTCTCTCTCTCTCTCTCTCTCTCTCTTCCTGTACATTTTTCACTAATATAATGGTGGTAACTTCCTCTGGTTTCTAGTTTGATATTAATGGGAGGTTATTCGAGTTTACATTATTACGAATGCAGGGTTCTCGTTGTTTTCATTTCCTGTAGCAAATGTTTCTAGCTGATTGACTATCAAAAAAGAATTTTTTTGGGTGATGGAGTGCTCTCTACTTGTTTCTTTTTTTATGGTTTTGTTTGATAATATCACTGGGGATTTTCTTCTTTGGTGGTTTCTTAAACTGGATTTCCCTCTGTTTTTTGAGAAATGTTAACTGGATTTCCCTCTGTCCACTGCCTGTTTCTTAATGGTTTTCTTGGAAAAGTGGCTCGTTTTGGCTTTCTGCCTTATTTTCATGTTTTTTTTCTCTGGTTTGCTCAATGCCGGCTCACTTATCTCTCTCTTCAAAAACCCTATTTGGTTATCAATGTTTGAGTTGTGGCACATGGTTTGTCTGTTTGAAGTTTTCTTCAAATTATGGTTAAAATTTAGCTTTCTTGGTGTTTATTGGAGTTTTCTCCCATTTTTATTCTTTCCATTGTCTTCTATGTTTTGCCTTCTCACTCATCTTCCTGGATTGGTATGATGGGGTGTTAAAATCTTGCTTTCTTGAGGTTTGTTGGATTCTTCTCACATTTTTATTCTCTCCGTTCTGTTGTATGTCATTCCTGCTCACTCATCTTCCTGGATTGGCATCTGTTGTTCTCTCCATTCTGTTGTATGTCATTACTCCTCACTCGTCTTCCTGGATTGGCATCTGTTATTCTCTCCATTCTGTTGTATGTCATTACTCCTCACTCATCTTCCTGGATTGGCATCTGATGATGGGTGTGCCAAAAGATTATATCATCATCATCATTATCGAGCCTTATCCCAACTATTTGGATTTTGCGACAAGATTATGTGATTCAAGATTTGTCTTGATCGATGATTTTCATAACTTGGGTTCTTCTCATTTCTTCATCTCTTCACTCTATTTTGTGCTTAATGTCTGCTTATTTATCTCAATGTATTGGTGTTTGCCAGGCCTGCTTAAGTACCCATAATCGGAGGGTGGGTGACATTGATACGATGAATTTGGTTGTCAATATTATTTATGTTTCTATCTCTAGTCAAAATGAATCCTATTGATGTTTTAAGTGCTTTGGCCTAGTCAGCGTCTGACTTGAGCTCAGGACCCTGGTGAGTCAGAGCCTGAGCTTTTGTTTTACCCATTGCCATGGAATTCCTTTAGATGTTATCCATTTTCTTATCAATTATCAATTATACAAGTTCTGTCCCTCACTAATGCATTCCTTGTAAGTTGATCTTGACTAGTTATGTTGTTTGAGTATTTTTTTCATTTCCATGTTCAATAGGATCCTGAAAACAAGAAAATCATCGTGTGTGATGAGAAGCTTAAGAGCATATTTGGAGGGAGAGACCGGGTTGGGTTTCTGGAGGTCACAAAGCTGATAAATCCTCACTTTGCAAAGTGAACGTGATAAGCTCTAACAGAAGGCAGGTTTTAAAGTGTGAAAAGAAAGTTTCTGTGTAGTTGGGTTTTTTTGTTGGTTGTTTAAGCAGTGGCCTCATACATATGAAAATTTTGGACAATTATATTTGATGTGGTCTCTGATTGGAAGTTTCAATGCCTCAGGTCTTACACTCATTGATTGTTTGTCTAATTCAGTTAGTACACCTCAAATAGGAAAAGTGGGAATGAACCTCTGTGGCTTGTGCTTCATATGTATATAAAGCATTGGGAAGAATCAATTTTCACATGATAGTTTCTTATTATGCAATGTTGCAGTGTCACTTTTGTGTTTAATCTTATCTATGATTTATGCTTTTCTGGAAATCGACTAGAGTCATCCCATAACATTGGGTGTTCGATTATTTTGTTTCTCTAATACTCTGTAACTCTTTTAAATTTTTAGTATTTAAGAAAATTATTTTCGATTTATTTTATGATGTTCTGAATTCTAGGTTTTAGTTTTAAGCTTTCTTATTTTGCTTTTTAGTCAGCATTCTTCTTAGGTCATTTTCAAATCTTGAAGTCCCATGGCTTAGTACACCGAAGATGCATTGACATGTAGATATGGTCACTAATGTATCTGTCAATAGTTCTAGTTTTGGAAAACGCTGTATATAGTCAAACTAGTGTTCACAAGCTTGAAGTCGGTGGATAACTTGGTCATTGCCATTTGCCAAAGCCAAGATGACTTACCACTTTAAGTTTTCCAACAAATAGATATGGAAAGCCCCTTCAGGTTTTTAAGTTTTTGACAGGAAATTATAAAAAGGCAAAACAATGTCTCTAATGGGATTTGAACCTAGCTTGCAACCAAGTTGTATTACAATCCTGGCACATTTGAAGATATCTTTTATATGTTAAAGGAAACCAGATAATTATTTATATGAAACTGCGACACTTCCTGAGATTTTTGTTTATAAATGATAATCTTGGATGATGCTGCATATTGTGAAAACAATGTCCAAAACCTAGAAGTCAGTGTTCAGCTTGGTAACATGTGCTAAAACTGAGTTCTCACCAAGTTAAACAATCAATTCAGGGAAACCGTGCCCGTTCTCCAAGTTGTTGTGTGAGGAATTAGGAAAAAAAAAAGGGAAAGATAATTCCTTTAGCAGAATTCCTACCTAGCTTGTTGCCAAGTCATTCCACAATCACAGCACATCTGAAGGCACCATTTATATCTTTAAATAATTAAGAATCATTTATGAGTGCAAACCAGGATACATCTTGAATTTTTTGATTTATAAATGCCCTCCAACCCCTCTCCACGCCATCCCCCCCCCCCTCCCATTCCCATCCCCTCGGACACACACAACAGACTAACACTTGCAAATAGACGAAAGGGTAATGTAGTAGGTCCTGGTCTTGGGAAACATTTGAGAACTAATATCACCTCAAGGTCCTCATCATTATCTTTGATCCTGGACTTGGAAATAATACTGAAGTGGTTTAGGCTCAATTCTTTATGATGATGTTATGCATTTCCCTCCTGCCTAGCCATGTGCTTGGTGTCTCGTTATTTCTAGGGCCTAAAAAGAGTTGCGTTGGTGATTTTGCATTGTTCTCTTGCTTTATCTATTTTATTGTCCTAATTTTTGTCTGGTTGTTAATATCTCATACGGAAAGGGTATGTGTATCGAGTTGCACATATAAAGGAAATGTGTACCTAGTCGCTCCCAAGGATATAGAATCTGCAGATTGCAATTCTCATGCTTGCTGCCCTAAGATCTGTACATTTTGGAAATTTTAACGGTTATTAGTAAACGTAATCGTATGAACTAATGCCTCCAAGTTTATTGCGACATATCTACCATTGTGATACAAATCGTAAATTATGACATAGTTGGGACTAGTTTGGGTGACCGTGTTTTTACTTGGTGAAAAAGACAATGCTATTTTTTTCCAATTGGCACCAAAATCAAAGCATAAGGCTCCTTTTGGTGAATTTACTAATTGTTGCTTGCTCATGAAATGACTTCTCTGTATTGTTTAGGAAGTTTTGGTTCAATGAATTTCAACTAGTTATTATCATGTTGTGATGAAAGATGGATGTTTTTGAAAACTGAGAGGGAAAGCCCATGTGATGTTAACATTGCCATCAAAGTTCTGAATTTGATCAATTTGGGACGTGGATGGAGTGGAGGTGAAATCCATCTCATTAGGTGGCAGTTTGAGGACGGGCTTCTGGTGGCCTGTTTCTATTTAATACGAAAATTGGTTTCTGATGATACCTTTCAGCTATGTTTCTTGATCTAGTTCTTCTATTCATCAAGCTCTTACATATTTTGCTCCTTGTTTTTTACCCCTGCCTTTGGAATGTGAGGGAAGTTGACCACTTCTCAGTAAATGTTTGTGCATGTCTGATGCTTTGTGTTCCTAAAAAACTCATCACCTTTGTCTAGGCTGAGATTGAACTTAGAAGACTTTTGTTTTAATGAAGGTAACGGATAAGGTATTGTACTCCTTGTTTATATCCTTTTAGGGGCCCAAATTTTGGGGAAGTAAACCATTGACCTATAAACTAACCTCAATAAAAAAATAATTTTGAGTGCCAATCTATATGCTTGAAAAAAAAAAAAGTCTTAGGATTAAATAGAGATCGTCTAATTTTTGGAAGGTGAGATTTAATTATCAGAGAACTCAAAATCAAAAATCTTTTTTCTTTTGAAGATAATGAATTGGTGATTCTTAGGTGTTGCCATAATTTCAGATTGAAAAAGTTCTTCGAAGTACGTCTTCTGCATGAGGGAAAAAATTGTAAATATGTCCCTGCAGGAGTATGTTATGCGCACTCTTTATGTATTTACTGTTCTTTGTAAATGCATTGTAGCATTTAAAAAAGGGAATCCTGTGGCTCAGCGCATACCTGAGGGCTTCAATAGTATTATCTGGTTATTGGTTCCTGCTAAATATTAAGATCCGGCAGGCTCTATGGCTGATTCTTGTCAGTTCTCTGACAGAACCAGTAGTGAGAATTGGCTAGTTCTGCCAAAGAACTGGTTCTGACTTTTAGTTCTGCCAAAGATATGTGATTTGGGTCACTGAACCATTTTTTAAAAACCTTGGTTTGCACCGATAATTGATGGGACCTTCTATGGGACTTTTAAGTTTGCTACATGTAGTGAAGTGATATCCAGTCCTGAAAGACAATTGTTTCAGGAGTTGGTGAACTCTGTTTCTCAATATTTCAGTGACCCAAAAAAAAAAAAAGAAACCAATTAACCTCCATTTGTACCACTCTTTCCCAACAATACTAGTGACCCAAGAAAGGAAAAAGAGAAACAAAAGTTTTAAGTATCTATTTCAGCTATCTGCTGATTGAAATTCTAGTGATTCATGCCCCGTTCCTCCAATTTTCAAAATTCAGGCCATCCAAAAAGAAATTCAAGAAGTAAAGGAACTCCATTTCTGCCTCTGTTTCTTGGTTCATGAAATGGACAAACCAGCCTTCTTTGCAAGAAGACCCCTTTTTCTGTCCACTATGGTTTCATTACGAACTATAATTCTCTCCATGGGGAAACCATCACTAAAACCATGACAAGATCCCTAATTCTCTTCATGGGGAAACCATCATTTCATTTGAGAAGAACCCCATTTCTCCTCTATGATACCATAACTAACCGGAAGAAACACCCCATTTCTCCTCTATGATACCATAACTAACCGGAAGAAACACACCGAGTTACAGGCGTGTTTCTTCATGCCTTGGCCATGTCTTCCACTATTTCGTTTGCTTCATCTTCTTCAACTAAAAGCTTTCTAGGGTCATCTTCCTCTTTTCTGAATTCTTGGAAGTTCTTCAAAATCGTATAGGCCCATAGGCCCAAACCAGGACCTCCGCTTCAAATCTCTGGGCTTTGTTTTTGGATCAATTTTTTGGCTTAGGTTTCTTTCTAGTACGGTTTGGGGTTTCGATGAGATTGATTACATGGAAGATGTAGCGTATGAATTTTCAAGTATGAAATTTGGGGAAGTTCTGGGCAGTGATTAAAAAAGCGGACCGCCTAGGCGGTCCAGAAGGCCTGGGCTCATCGCCCAAGCTTAGGCTGCCAATCTGGGCGACAGTCCCTGGGCGGCTGCCTAGGCGGTATGGAACCCGTCTAGGCAGGCATCTATTGTTGGCTTGTGCCTTGCCCAGACTAGGCGGTACGGAACTCGTCTAGGCGGGCAGACTAGGCTGTACGGAACCCGTCTAGGCCGGTATCCATCCTTGGTTTGCGTCTTGCCCAGAGGTGGAAATTTTTTTTTCTAAAGTTTGACAAAAATTGATCAAAGCATCACCCATTGATATTGATATTAGATTTCATTTTTGATATTTCATAAATCTATTGGGGTTTTTTAAAAGATTTTGAGTCTTAAAAGCATCTTTGACATGGCATCTTTTTTGGATTCGACTGGGCCTGCTTAGGCGTTGGGTGGATCCCGGCAGCCTAGGACCCGCCTGGGGCTTTTTGAAACACTGGATTCAGGTTACCCAAAAGCATTCAAGACAACAGAAACTGCATTTCGTCTTCTGGTTCTTGAAATTTGGGGAAATCCAGCTGCCTTTTCTGGTCAAATTATCAAAACCTTCATTTGTGCCTCTCATTTTAAATTTTTACTCACCCAAGAACTACGGAAAAAAATTGGGGGAGTTGACAGAAAGGGGAATCGAAAGGAGACGGAAAGAGGAGAAAATGAGAGTATAGGGAGAGAGGTGTCAGCGAGAATGAGATAGACAGAAACGGGATCACTGGATGCCTCAATTTCGCTCTTGAAAGTCGGATTTACCCAATAAATAGACAGCACAGGGTTGCAGCCTTATCTCTACACATAAAGCTGAAGCTTCACCAAAAAGACACCCAAAGGCAGAAAATTGACATTAAGGTGTGGTTTGTATAGAATTGAGGCTCTAAACAATCAAAGTTTGAAAAATGTGGTTTCATACTAGAAATCTCAGTGATAGAGTTAAAGTATATTTTTATCTTTAATTATAAAATTTAAAGCTTTAAAAATATTATAGATCTTACAGATATATGGAAACTTGAAAATCTTGAAATTTGATTATCCAAAAATACATCTATAAGATGCACTATTTTCAAAACTTGAAATCCATTTTTTTCTTATGCCATGCATCTTGATGTCGAGATGATCAATTTGAGGATATTTGGACATCAAAACAATCCCTTCTAATAAAAATTTTGAGGTTGGCTCTAATTTTTTTGCTTAGAGTCTTAGCTCTATATAAACTTTTTCCTTGACATTAATAAGGCATCATATAAAC